TGAATTTAAGGATAGCACCCAGGCCCAAGAGTTCAAGCATCACAACAAAAATAAATAAATAAATGGTCTCAGTTATCCATCTTTTATGTTTTTTGTGGGTCCTAGGTTTGACCTCAGGGCCTCCGCTCTGTCCCTGAGCTTTTTTGGTCAAAGCTAGCACTTTACCACTTTGAATCACAGGGCCATTTCTGCTTTTCTGGTAGTTAACTGAAGATAAGAGTCTCACAGACTTTCCTTCCTGATCTCGCTTTGAACTTCGATCCTCAAGGGCTGGGAAGATGGGTCCGTGGTAGAGTGCTTGCCTTGCATGCGTGAGGCCCTGGGTTCGATTCCTCAGCACCACATAAACAGCAAAAGCTGGAAGTGGTGCTCTGGCTCAAGTGGTAGAGTGCTAGCCTTGAGCTGAAGAGCTGAGGGACAGCGCCCAGACCCTGAGCTTACGCCCACGACAGACCAATAAAAAGAAAGAAAGAGAGAAAGGAATGAAGGAAGGAAGAAATAAATTGAACTTTGATCCTCATATCTCAGCTCCTGACTGAGTGGCTGGATTACAGGCTTGAGCCACTGGTGCCTGGCTAACTATTCAACTTATATAAAATACCCAGCCACTGCAGAATGGATGACTTCCCTAGACTCTCGCTCATACATTGATAGGCATCTGTTAGATGGCCCAAAAAAGATCCCCCGATGTCCTAGTTTCATATCTGGATAGAATGCTGGGTCTTCTTCAGACAGTGCAGAATGGCCTATACTCAAAGTTCCTTTCTAGAGTAGAAAATGTATAGGCTCGGCTTCTCCACAAGTGGGCGCTATGGCCCATTAAGACCCTCCCTCAGCCCCCATTTCCTTTTTTCCCTCCATTTTCCGTTTCCCCGTTGCCAGGCAACCAAGCAATCAAGGACTTTGCCGTCGCCTAGCAACCGTATCCCAGGAACATGGAGCTGAGGTAGGAGGGGTATTCTGATGAAATCTGAACAGGCCTCCATCTTAGGAAAATTGAGACGTCAGACCTCCAACCCCCGGATTCCCCGTGCCAAAGACCCTCGCGCCCAGTTATTTGGACAACAGCCCCTCCAATGCGGCCTCCCTTCCGCACAGGAAACCACGCACAGTCCTCCCAGGTCAGCCCCGCCCTTATTTCCCAGTGAGGTAACATAGCCCCGCCCCTTTCTGAAGGCTGCGGCCCGCCTCCTCGGATAGAGTAAGCCAGGCCCCGCCCACCCGTCTCCAGGAGACCACGCCTCCGTCCACTTCCCGCCCATCGCTCCCCCGGCCTCGCCCACACTTGTCCTTCCGCCACGCCCCTGCCGGCCAATGAATGTGGCCGCTGGCCACACTGCCCCGCCTCTGGCATCTTAGCTTTGCCCAATAAGGACCACCCAGAGGGTTTAACCGCTTCACCTCCGGGGCCTGACCAACACCCGCGGTCTTTTCCCCAGTTTACCCCCACCCCCACTTGTTCTGCTCCGCCCTCCGCCACCCTCGCCCGGCCCTCTAGTCCGCCACGCAACTTCAGTCGTCGCTGATTACCATAGCAACGGCGGCAGCAGCGCGGGGAGAAGGGGGAGGGACGGGGGCGGAGTGGGAGAAAGAGATGTTCAGAGACAGAGATAACTGGCAGAGATAGAGGAACGGAGTGAGATTAAGTGGTAACTGTAAAGCAGTTTTCACAGAGCACTGGGCTGAACACATAGTAGGCACTGAATAAATTTTCTGTAAATTACTGCGGCAAGAGACTATAAATATAGACAACGAAAGATGGTGGGCCGTCAGACAGAGCTGGGGAGCTCAAGACCAAAAAACCTGAGCACGCCCTAACCCACCCAGCATGTTCCAAGGGTAGGAGCCTTGTGCCCCCTGCTGGTTCTTTCTAGGCTACCCTCCTCTGCCCTGAATAGAGATGAACCACAACTCCCAACAGTCCTAAGGGCAGAAACACTTTAATACTGAAGGATCTTATGCCTCCAGGCCTTATGGGAGTTGGAGTCCCCTCATCCCGAGACTGACAAGTTTTCCAGCCAAGGAATGTGGCAAGCCTGGGTCTCCACGCATCATAAAACCCCTGAATGCACAATCTTCTCTGCAAGCCTCCTTCTTTCAGAGATGCTCCACCCTGGGCTCCATGGAAGAAATAAGATTCTGGAGGTGGGAATGAATAAACCCACCCACCCACCAAGAATAGCTGCCAGTGCAGGCAAGCCCCTCACCTTTGCTTGCATTCACGTGTCAGAAACAGAACCCACACATTCCAGTGGACTTTCTGTATACATCTGTACACAGGAAACACCAGCCAGGGAGCCAAGGCCAAGGAACAGGAGAAAGAAGGAGCACAAGACCTCACAGATATTTAAAAGAAATCCTAATGCCAGAGGAACTGAGGCACCAAAAAAAAAAAAAAATCTACTGAAACTACATGTGATGGAGTAAAGAAGCAACCTGAGAGAAACCCACAGACATGGGGGGGGGAACCCCACAGAATGGGGAAGAAAGCAAGTCGCCCAGATGGAGACAGGGGAAGAGAATAGGATCTAAAGGACCTCAGGCTCCAGCAGTCTCTTCCAATCATGCCCACACGTGCACAACACATGTGTACACACATGTGTGAGTTTGTGGCAGGGAACATGTGTGTCCTCAGCACCCTCCCATGAGAAGCTGCAGTTCCCACTAAATATAACCCCCTCCCCAGCCTGTGACTCACTTGGACCCCGCCTCCCCCGGCCCCCACTTCCTGTCCCACCCCCCAACCCCCAGCTGCCTGCCACCTGCCCAAGCCTCCCTACACACACACACCAGGCTCCAGCTTGCCAGTCCTGGAGTCTGGAAGCAAAGACCTAGGTATTCTGCAACCCATAAGGAGCTTGCTTGGACTCTTCATCCAGATCTGCTCATTCCCAGGCTCCAACCACAGGGACACCCTTGTTCAGATGCATATTCTGCCAGCCCTGCCCTCCTCCTGCACACCTTTTCACCCTAGTACCGTCTTCATTCCATAACCTTGGTCATAAGTCCTTAGGGACCCTAACATCCAGGTGTCCTCCACCACCTTGATCTGAAGTGTGTGGGGTAACAAGTCTCCTCTATCTGCTCTTCTCCCACTCTCTTGACCAGGGCTAGATGTAGTGTGGGAGGAGATGGGGTTAGTGGGCACCTGATTGGGCCACCCTCAAAATTTGCACCACCTATTTGACCCCTCCTCAAATCCTCTCCTCAACCTCTCATCATCCTTCTCAGAAACTGACAAGTTCAGCTGCCTGCAACCTTTCAGCTTCCCTGGAGTACCCCAGATCCTAACCTCACCTGGCCGATTCTCTCAGGCCTCAGCCCCCCCAGCAACTCCTAACTATATCCATTCCATATAACTGAACTGCAAATTAAGAGTTCTCTAAAATCAAGAGAGAACATTTATACTACAAGAGGCTTGGTCTATAGCCTGAAGGCTCTTTGACAGATGACATCCCCAGACAAGGTACAATCAGGTAACCTTTACCCTTATGTCGAGAGGAACCCCCTCCCCCAAAATTGAACAAGACATCTTGAAACCAGCTTTTTCCCCCAGGAGAGAAAAGGAACCTTCACACACATATAGCCCACCTTCCCACATACACTAGCATGACTACCATGGAAGCCAGGCTTCTCCTTAAATAAGTCGCCCTCAAATGTTACTGAACCCCTAAACCCACCAGATCACCAAACTATGGAATATCCCCAAATTTCCATCTCTATAGGTAGAAAGGGATCACTCCTGGGGGCACCTGTGGACAAACCCAGCATTTTCTCAGATGTGAACCCCACATTAAATTGTGACCCCAAAATACATCTTACTTCTCATCCACTTCACTTTAGAGCCCCCAGCCCCAGAGAAGGCGGCCTAACCCCTCTCCACAAATTCATTATCTCTCCCCAGTTTATACCCCCCCCATCATGCTTACCTTGGTTGTCACTATACAGAGACAGTCCATGTTGGGGGGCCTGGCCGCGGCGGCGGGTAAGGGGCTCTGACTTCATTGGAGTTTCCTTCCTCCCCTCGGTGGGTTCTCACCCCTCCCCCCTCCGCACCCCACTTTTGCAGGGGGGGCCAGGATGGGGGGAGGGGTGAGAGGGGAAGGAGGGGGTTGGAGAAGGGAAGGGTAGGGGAGCGTGGGAGGGAGGAGAGGGGGGCCCTAAAAGGGGCTCCCCAGTGGAGGGGAAGGGGCTTGGGGAGCACACCCTGATTCTCAGGAGGGGCAGGGGAACCAGGGGCTGGCAGCCCCGGAGTTCGGGGGCTGGGGCATGAGCTGGGGTGGGGGAGGGGAACTGGATTTCGGGGAGCCCCGGGATAGGGAAGGGTCTTGCCAAACGGCCAAGGGCTAGGGGCCGTGGCGGGGGAGTGGGGTGGGGGGGTTGGAGACGGCAGCGGCCGAGGGAGCCTTGGAGCCGAGGAGGGAAGGGGAGAGAGGAGGAGAGAGGAAGCAGGGGGAGGGAGGGAGGGAGCTAGGAGCCAGAATGGGGGGGTGCCTTGGCAGTGTTAACTCCTTCGGTGCTGGCAGGAACCCGGATAATGGGAAAGGAGATAGAAGCAAAATCAGAGAGGCCCTAAGGCAAACATGGAGACCTGGCCAGCCTCCAACGATGACAGCGAAGACCACGAGGATGGATTTCATTTCTCATCTAAGGCTGGGAGCATCCTCAGTGGTTAAATACTAGAGGGATCCCAGGGTGGGGGGCTAGGAGGTGAGGGAGGGGCTGGAAGGAGGGAATCCCTGGGGAACCAGTTCTCAGGATTCACAGGAGGACGCCTGAGATCAATTATGCCTTGGACTCTTTAGTGTTTGAAATTAGGGCAAGCAAAAGGGGGGAGAAAGGAGAAGGGCTACAGGACTGGCAGAAGAAAGCACATTTTCAATGTCTCCCCCCCACACACACACACACAACTTGCATGCCAACGACTCCAGACTTTGTGACCAGGGTCCCCAAATGTCAGTTTAATATTAGCAGAACTTTGCTCAAGCCCAACTGCTTACCTGACTCTCTGAGATGGAGTCCTCGTAATAGTCCAGGATATCTGTCACAAACACCGAACTGAACTAAGTCAGTCAATCATCACCATCCCAGGCCTCTCAAGCCACCCTGGCCATGGCACTTCTTTCTGGTAGAGGAGAATCTCCTCTAGCAAGATTGACCAATGCTGAGGGAAGACACTATTACAATGACCTACGAGGGACTCCATCTTAGACCAAATGCTCTCTGAGGTCCCAATGAGACCTGAAGTTCAGTACTTGCCGTTATAGCCCAAGCCAGCCCTTTTCACCATGGCCCCTCAAAAAACTGGAGTTACTCACCCAGTAAAGCCTGGAAGAGGTCACTGTGCAGTACTGTGAGGAGAGGAGGTGCCCACCGCAATAATGGGGGAGCAAGAAGCCAAAGGGCTGACCTGGGAGCTGGTGAAAAGCAAGTGACAGAGGATTGGAACCAGGAAGAGACTAGCATACTGTCACCTCAGCTTCCCCAGACACTAGGGAATGATTCAGGGAGAAATAGCACTGAGTCTCATACCCCCACTACTCTCCCAGGCTTCCCTTCCACAAGGACCTGTTATTTTTACCTCTTGGTCTCTGAGACATCTCTCTCTTCTCTCACTGTAATCTCCCTAATCCGCCAGGATTGGAGTTGAGCTGCTTTCTCCCCACTCAATTCTAGCTGATGGGTAAAATGGGCAGACTCTGAGCCAGAGGAATGGCTGTCATTCATCTGCAGGTCCCAAGAACCATCACAAACGCCCTGTTCCACATACTGTGGCCCCCTCTTCCCAAAGCTAGCCATAACTGAGTTATACTTTCCTGTGAGGTTGGGAAGGTCTTCCCTAAGAAGAGTATAGCAACTCAAAAAAGAAAGATGAGCCCAGCTCTTTCTCTCCTCTCAGGCCTGATCCCAGTACAAAAAGGAATATAAATGTCTTGTAACTTCTTGACCAAAGGCTAGAGAGGTGGGGTGGGAGGTTGTGAGCAGAATTTCTATAGACCTTCGTGGGCCTAGAAGAATCCAACTGTTTAGAGGTCTAGCCAGGGCACAAGGGCTCTGCAAGAAGCAGAGCACAGATGTTCAGGAAGCTCCCAGAAGTCTTAAGGAATTGACAGTGAACCCAGGGATTCCTCCTACTGTGCACTTTTTTGTGTTTTGAGTTAGTGACAACTCCTAGCTCTCAAGAGAATTTGCTTGGGACACACTCCAGCTCAAGTGTGCTGCCCCGCCATTCCTCTCTTTTTGTGTTAATGGGGCCAAAGTTCACGAAAACCTATGCCTGAGTCTCAAGCATCTACCTTGCTCTTCTCACTTCTCCCTGCTCTACCTGAGACGTCCTCCCTTCCTTCTACCGCCATACCTTTGGCTGCTATTGCCTAAGCAACTCCTCTTCTGCCCATCCTATCCCATCCTCCCTTCAGGAGACTAGGCTTTAGTTCAGACCGGTAGTATGAAAGGTTTGGGGAGAGACCCGGGACGCTTGGAGATCCCACTAAGTGAGAATATGCGAGGACTGTCCAAAACTACAACTCCCAAATGCACCAGCACCCGGAATCCCCGCCTCCCCGTCGCGCGGTGCATTGTGGACGATGAGTCAGGGCTGGGACGCCCAGCGTTGTACAAGCGGGACAAGCCAGACGGGTCGGCGTCCAAGGAAGTGGCTTCTGGAGAGGCTAGAGATGCAAACAGTGGGGCGACAGCTGCTGAAGTTGAGGGGCCGAAGGTGTGTGTATAACAGGAACAGTTGGGGGACAGCGAGACTGGGAACCGGGCCAGAACTAAACTCCTTACTCCCCACAGCCTGCGACCCAGTGAGTTCCTGGGGCAGCCCTGGCCTGTCCCTGCCCGTCGACCTTATGCTAGTGGGACCACTCAGGTAAGTGACAGCGGTCCTGGGAAGGCTGTGGAATTGATTCCACCGCGGCTTTCACCACCCTGCTACCAGTAGAGGTCTCCCTCCTCCATGTTATCTAGTGGCAGTTCTGACACCGAAAGTAGGGGAAAGGGCAAGCCAGGGTGACCCAGGATGAGACTAGGGAAAAGGCAACGAATCCACCCAACCCCCACAGCTAGCTCTTCCCTTGAGCTCTCCTTAGCCCCAGAAACTCTTTTCCCAAACTGGCAACTATCCCTTTCCTAGGCGGTTCTGGACAAATCAGACACCCTCTCCTCAGATGCTGCCACCAAAGAAAAACCAGCCAAGGCGGTATGTGGCTGGGAGGCAGAGTTTACCAAAGCCTGGGGTGGACCTGCCCCAACCAGCTCCCTGAAACACCTTTCTCCCTGCCCAGGAATCCAAGTCCTTTGCTGTGGGGATGTTCAAAGGCCAGCTCATCACTGATCAGGTGTTCCCATATCCATCAGGTAGGAGGAAGGTCAGTACTGTGTGTGGTTCAGGGATATCTTCTGACAACATCACCCTGACTAGCCTGTTCCTTTCCTCCCCATCTACGCAGTGCTCAACGAGGAGCAGACTCAGTTTCTCAAAGAGCTGGTGGGGCCTGTGGCCCGTTTCTTTGAGGTGAGGAATAACTTTCATACAATCCCTGATGGGGTAGGTAGAGATGTGAAGGAGCATAAAAAGAGCCTGGGCCTGGCACCCATGGCTCACAGCTATAATTCTGGCTACTCAGGATGCTGAGATATGAGGATCATAGTTTGAAGCCAGTGAAGCAGGAAAGTCCAGTGAACTACTCAGAAAAAGCTGGAAGTGACACTGTATGGCTCAAGTGGTAGAGTGCTAGCCTTGAGCAAAAGAAGCTCAGAGACAGCACCCAAGCCCCAAGTTCAAGTCCCAGAACAGCCCCCCCCTCCCAAAAAAAAGCCTGTGTATGAGATCCTTTGCTTTCTCTCCAGGAGGTGAACGATCCTGCCAAGAATGACACTCTGGAGCGAGTAGAAGAAACCACTTTGCAGGGGCTCAAGGAGCTGGGGGCCTTTGGTCTACAAGTGCCCAGTGAACTGGGTGGTGTGGGCCTCAGCAACACCCAGGTGAGAGGAGCCTCCTTATTCAGCAGTGTTCCACCCTACTCCAATTTGGCAGTTTCAGCTCCTTCTCACTCCAAGGACCAAGGTCTTCTCCAAGCCAACTGCTATGCCTAGGGGGTGCAGAGCAGCACTGTGGAACTGCTGACTTTCTCAGCTGTGTGGACAACCCTTACCCTAAAACAAAACACCATATATGTGCAGTCTCCTACTCCCCATGGATCTCACCCTGGTTCCCAAGTCCTTAAGAACTGACAACAGTAGGGTAATAGAGCTAAGGCATACACCAATACCTCTCACTGAAGTACCCAGTGCAGGAGATGGCACCTAGGGCTTTACACATGGTAGGCACTCTACTACCCACTCTATCCCCAGCTGCATTGCTTTTTGATTCCTCTTTCCTTCCCCACATGGAGAAATGGCCCAGACCAGGTCCTGCCCTGTTGTCCATACTCTCCTGCTAAAGGCAAGACCCTGTGAAGCCAGTTACAGCCCAGATGTCTGCTTTCCCTACAGTACGCTCGCTTGGCAGAGATTGTGGGCACACACGACCTTGGTGTGGGTGTTACCCTGGGGGCTCATCAGAGCATCGGTTTCAAAGGCATCTTGCTGTTTGGCACAAAGGCCCAGAAAGAAAAATACCTCCCCAAAGTGGCATCTGGTAAGGCAACCCTGAGACTCAGTGATTGGGAGGTGTCCTGGGCTTGGAACGATTCCACCAGTTGCTATTTAGATCACCCCCTAGTTGGCATATCCCTTGGGATACGTCCCAGAAGGCATCAAAGTTCTGATGGGAAAATGCAAGGAAACTGGATTGTGCCAGAGATGTTAAAAATCTGCCTGGGAGGATAAGGGGAGATGACAACAGTTGGATACCCATCAGGACTCCTGGTAAACGAGCTCTCTCCTCACCAGGGGAGTCTATAGCGGCCTTTTGTCTAACTGAACCCTCAAGTGGGTCAGACGCAGCCTCCATCCGAAGCTCAGCTGTGCCCAGCCCCTGTGGAAAATATTTCACCCTCAATGGAAGCAAGCTTTGGATCAGGCAATCTTTATCACTCTTCTCCCTTCTCTCCCTCAACCTAATTCAGCCTCCTTTGCTCTGAGCCCTCCATGCTAACCGCCTCCTCATTCTTCCTCAGTAACGGGGGCCTGGCAGACATTTTCACGGTCTTTGCCAAGACACCAGTTACAGATGCAGCCACGGGGGCTGTGAAAGAGAAGATCACAGCTTTTGTCGTGGAAAGGAGCTTTGGAGGTGTCACCCAGTGAGTGGGTTTGGGGAGGAAGTGGTAGAACCAAAGAAGGGGAGCAGCCACAGGGAATATGGCTGTTATAGGTCACCCTGAGGGGTAGTGTGTGCAAAAGCAAAACATGTGGGCACTATGTGCCCTTTGGGATGTATGTATGGAACTGACACACAGCCTTAGTGCCATCAACCAAATCCAATGCAGGGTAGCAGGATATAGCCAGGCTTCTCTAATCCCAAACTACAAGGGGTACAATGTATACATGTGCTAACAGTCTGAGACTTAGTTCCTCCTTGATCATAAGAAATGGAGGGAGCCGGGCGCTGGTGGCTCACGCCTGTAATCCTAGCTACTCAGGAGGCTGAGATCTGAGGATCGCGGTTCAAAGCCAGCCTGGGCATGTAAGACCGTGAGACTCCTATCTCCAATAAAACCACCAGAAAACCGGAAGTGGCGCTGTAGCTCAAGTGGTAGAGCGCTCGCCTTGAGCTGAAGAGCTGAG